CCCTAACCCTAACCTAACCCTAACCCTAACCTAACCCTAACCCAAACCTAACCCTAACCCAACCCTAACCTAACCCTAACCCTAACCCTAACCTAACCCTAACCCTACCCTAACCTAACCCTAACCCTAACCCTAACCTAACCCTAACCCTACCCTACCCTAACCCTAACCCTACCCTACCCTAACCCTACCCTAACCCTAACCCAGGGGCCTGTTCCACTCGGCCAGCGAGCTGCAGGACGCATTCCTGGCTCGGCCTGTTCCTTCCCTGCGAATCCTGTTCCCCGTGTCTCCAGGTTTAAGTCCATTCCGTCTACCGTCTTTGTTGTACTGGGTTCTTTATGTTATTTTCTCGCTTTCTCTACTAGACTGGGACACGTGTGAGGCTGGGGGCCTCTGACGCCCCCACTCAGTGTCCAGACATTCACAGGCTGCAGGTGCTGGGTACACAGGGGCAGCCCAAGACGGGGCTCCCCGGAGCGAGCGCAGGGTGGGGGCAGACGGGGAAATACTCCCCGTGCCGGGTAGTAAGGTTTATGACCAGAACGGGTATAAAGGGCCGTGGGAGCCCAGAGGAGGTGGGACCCATTCTGCTAGCGAAGTCAAGGAAGACTTCCCGGAGGAGGGGGCATTTGCACTAAGTCTCTAAGGACAAGGAAACTCCCCAGAGAGGCGGTGGGGGGACGCGCAGCCCCTGTGTGCCCGGCCAGGGGATGGGACGGAGTGGGGGTCACTGTCCGCTTGTTCCCGGGGTCACGAGCAGGGGGCAGGAGAACCCAGACCCGCAGAGGCCCGCGGTCACCCACGTGGGCCTGGCAGGGGCAGCCTGGAGGGGTCAGGGCCGCCGAGAACTGTCCTTCGGGACAGCCTGCCAGGGACCCGGGGTTCGAGAACCACCGGACGGGCCGTCGCCCCTCACCTGCCGCCAGCAGGACGGAATTCATGAACTGCGCCACCGTCCTCTGGAACCGCTTCTTGATCTCGGCCAGCGCCCGGCTCATCTTCGACACCTTGTCATCGGCGCCGTTGACCCCGCGGACGAGCTGCAGAGAGGCGGGGGGAGGGCGGCGTCACCGGCGCCCCGGGGAGCCGCCGTGTGGCCTGGCGACGGCCGCGCTTGCTCC